GGACCAGGGAGGATGATTCAACCACTCAACCACTAGATGTCGCTGAAAACAACAAATCCTACACACTGTGCCTTTAAATTTATGTCTGAGGATCATCTGAGGACTCTCACTGTTGCATGACCCACAAAGGGGTCTCGACCCCAACTTTGGGAACTACAGCTCTAGGGTGGGTCTTCCCTGGGGTCTCCTCCAGATGGACCTCCTCAGCTGGTTCCTCTGGATGTGGAGCAGCAGGTTCTACTCCTGAAGAACTGAACCTGTCAGCCTGTCCCTCCAGAGAAAACTCACCTGGACCTCCTCCTGGACTCAGACCCCTGTAGACCCTGTCCTCTCCCTGCAGAATCCTTTGACCTTTAACCTTCCTGTCACTCTTTTCACAGCCGAGTTGCAAAAGTAAAATAAAAAAAGAGGCAGTGACCAGTTTCACAAGCAGCAGGAGGAAGTTTGAGTCTCTTCCTCTTTCAGAATAAAAATCACCTGATTCTGTTCGAGCCGCTTCAGCAGAGACAGGAATATAAAACCCACCGGACTGGCTCGGGTTTTATTTTTATTTTATTATTTTATTTTGTTATCGTCATTTGACAGGCCCGGTGTGTGCGCGCGCGCGTGCTCACCTCCTCCAGGTCTGCCACGGTGTTCCTGCAGTGGGACATCCGGGTGGTGAAGCTGGAGGTGGTGGGAGCTTTGTAGTCCTCACTGGTCTCCTCAACAAACTCCGTCACGCTGATGAACTCCGGCATGATGACCAGGTCCAAACAAACAAGTAAACAAAAACAAAAAACAAAGTCTGGGAGCGGAGCGGGGAGTCCCTGCGGCAGCTGCCCGCAGGTGGAGCCGCCACACCTGGCTGAAAAACTTCACACCGATCCGGAAACAAAGATCCACCGGGCTCTCCTCATAGCGCGCGACCGGAAGCAGGTTTTATCTCCGTTAAGGTCCGGTTCGGAGGAAATGCCCAGTCCATGTCTCGGCCCGAGTCCCGGTGCTGCTGGCCTGCCTCACCTGAGGAAGAACAGAGCAGGGCGCACAGAGGTGTCACTCAGCTGCCAAGTCCAGGAACCAAACTCACAACCCGACCACGCCCACCACTCTGACGTCACCACCAATTAAACATTTCCCTGAGTGCAAAACACAAATCAAACATTTTCACAGGTTTCCACATTTTAAAGTAAACCCAGACTCCTGATCACGTGACAGACGATTAAATGAATGCATATCTCCCACCGCTGTAGACCACTCCGGTCCATCAGGGACACCTGGACATGTTTTTATCACAGAGACACCAGACATGTCTTTATCACAGAGACACTTGGACATGTTTTTATCACAGAGACACTTGGACATGTCTCTATTAAAGGGATACTTGGACATGTTTTTATCACAGGGATACTTGGACATGTCCTGATGCATCTCAGTAATCCAGGTAAAAAATCAAAAAGAAAAAATTTGTATAGGTCTTCTGGACGGGTTCTTCTCTAATGAAACGTTTCGTCTCTCCTCCAAGAGACTTCTTCAGTCTGAGAG